TTTTTCTCATGATAACACCTCTATTGTAAGAAACTAAAAGTAGATCAATGTTAATGGGTGCAATTTTTCCATGTGGTGGAATTCAACGAAATATTTCTGCTTTGCACTATCAAAAGTAAGGTTCATAATATGAATTTTAGTAAAGAAATATTTAAGTTAGATAAATTGGCACTTATGCCAAGATCATTTGGAATGCTAAAACTGACTGTATGCCAAAGATGTCTTTTAATCAACATATTTTTTTAATCTGAATCTCACCAATTTTTAAAAAAAGAAATCTCCTTTTTAATATTTGCAATATTTGTTTTGCAGAAAGCTGAGTGGATGACGACCACATGTAATCACGCGCTGTACGCTATTGTTGATGTTTTCACCCAGCATTACTCCGTCTTACACTACATCCTTCTTGATGAATTGTACAAACAGCTGCATTGGTGTGTGCAGCAGGGTGAGTTGATTATTAAAATGACACCCTGTTTACTTGGGGTGCACAAAATATTTTGTGAAGAACCATAACTGAGATATAGATATGTGAGGATTTATTTTAAAATTCATATTTTTTAAATTTTGTAATGTTTAACCCTTGACCTGCAAAAAAAAAAAAAAATAGTGTCTAAAGGCTGTTTTACTCTTGACATTACAATTACTGTATATTCCCTTGATAATGTTTACTGTTTTAAAAAGCCATGTTTAAAATTTTAATAACAACAAAAATATTACTCAGTATCTCTCTATATTTCTGAGATGAGGTATTATGTACACAATTTAGATTATTCAGACTATTGTCCTCATCTGTCGCCATATTTATTATTGCAACATTTCAGCCGTTGTATGCTTCAGCCTTCTTCAGGTGGTTGGAATGTCAAATCGAACCCTTTATTTCGCTCACTAGGGTAGACTGTTCTAGTTCCACGTGCCATGTTTAATGGATGTCAGTTATCTTCTGTTAATTCCCGTCTCAAAGTTCTCCACTGCCTTAACCGGGTATTGAACTCACACTCTTTGGGTCTTGTCACTGGATCTAACCAACACCTTTATCAACTGTGCCATGTGTCCTATACTCACTATTTGTTAGATTATTTATTTACAAGATTGTAAAAAGACGTGAATATTTGAATTCATTAGCAATTAGCTAATGTAACATTTTTATTATTAAAATTCTAAACATAGCATGTTAATATCTGTCTATATTTCTGAGATGAGGTACTGTAATTATTTATATTGTTTGGACTGTTGTACTCATCTTTGTCATATTCACAACGTTTCAACTGTTGTGCACCGATGTACTCAAGGACACATGGCTGATAAAAGCGTTGGTTGGATCCAATGATTTGGCCCAAAGAGTTGTGAGTTCAATACCTGGCTAGTGCAGTGGTGGACAAAAACTTGGAGAGTTGAGTTAAAGGGATATAATGGAGACATCCAGAAGAGGCATGACACATGGAACTAGAACAGTCTACCCTGGTAGATGAAATAAAGTGTTCAGTTTGAAATTCCAATCACCTGAAGAATACTGGAGCATATAATAGCTAAAAAGTTGTGAATGTGACAAAGAAACAGACAACAGTTCAAATAATGTAAATAATAACATGTTAAAAGAAACATTGTCAAGTTGAGTATACAGTAATAGCAGTGTCAAGAGGGGAAAAAGTCCTTTTTACACACCATTTTTTGCAGTTATATAGGTTAAACTCTGCCAAGAATTGTATAATTGAGAAAAGATATTTCCCTTCCTTAAATGTCTATCAAGAAGATCCTGAAATAATAGATGACTTAAAGTTGTTGAAGTTTTATTAACTTATGCACATACACCATACACTCACGGCAGTCAACATGTTAATTGAGTGTAAACATTGAGTCTGACATATTAACATAAACTGTCTCGCTGAGAATTGTTAAGATGTAAGTTCCATTTGAGCAGCTTCTTCCTATGAACCATTGCTTGATGGAATTGATTCCCAAGAAGTTGCTTCCTTGATCACTACATTATTAACCTGTTCAAGTCTAGGGGTTAACTGTTATCTTCCTCACATATCTCCATAAACTGTGCCTCTTAATCTGTAACCCTCTACCTTGAGTGGCTCTTGGGCATTCTACAGGGTTAATATCATTGTTAAAAAAACAAAAATCGTGTGTGTTGCAAAAATATATTTACCTGATTAAAATTATATGCAAAATAAACTACTGTATACAAATTTAAATATGCCACAAAAAGTAAAAATAAACGTTAATTGTTGATTGATTGATTTTTATCAATCCTTTGCCGGTTATTTAAAGCCAGAAAATATTTTTAGATTGTAAGAATTTTTTTTTTTTTTTGATAATGATTTAATGATACAAGTTTTACTAATTAACCCATAGCTGGGAGAGAAACAATAGATTAAAACCTTTCCGAAGGGTATTTTTGTGTAAATGAATATAATAAACTCAACAGGAATTGGAACTCAGCTCTCTGGTTAACAATTCCAAGCCATTATCCCTTACACTGCTTGCACATCCAAGCTTACAGCACCTGGTATTCTCAAGTAGCCACACATCTAGATATTGACAAGGCTCAACATTACTTAAAAGTCCTCAAGGGATGTGGTTTCTGTTATTTGGTACTGTTCTTTGTGATCTAGTAGTCCCAGTTCACAATGTTTGAAGAAGAATGGTCCTGGTTGAGACCAACAGGCCTCACTTACTCAAAGCCATTTTAAATTAACAAGTGATCTTAGAAAGCGGTTGTATACAGCAGGTAGTTTAGACATTTCTGAATGGGTTTGGCAATGATGATGACAATCATTTTCCTCGTTACTAATGTTTCTGTTCCTAATTCCTCCACACCCTGTAACCCCTTGCGTGTTAGTGGCTGTACTGCCTTGCTTGGGGTGATACCGATTAACAAAAATGAAAGATTCAATCTGACATGGCTGTTTAAGAACATAACTTGAGTTTTAGATAATCTCAGTGAACAAACAATATTCTGGACAATAATATTCTTATACGCAGCAACATTTACTTTGCCATATAACTTGAATGAGTGGGCTAACAGTACCAGAGAACACCCTCAAACCAATATTATTGTATAAATAGTATCAACAACAGGAATGACTGCTATTTTTTTTATGGTTTATCAGCCTTTTGCAGAAAATATTTTTAGATTGTGAGAATTTTTTTTGAGATAATAATAATTTATTATCTGCTCAATTTCATATCCAATTGTAAACCAAGCAATTTCTAAAGTAATGTATTTTTATTTATTAATCCAACAGATTTTTATCACTTTAAACATTATTTTTAGTGGATACCCATATTTTATTTTCATCTACTGGCCTGAATATTTGAGATCTTATTAAAGAAAAATATGCCAATAGAGGAAAATAAATTTACTGTGAAAAATAAATGGAGTGTCTACTCAAATATATATATATATATATATATATATATATATATATTTTCATTAAAAATAATGTTTAAAGTGATAAAAATCTGTTGGGTTCATAAAGAAATACATTACTACTTGAGTAATATATATATACATTCCTGTCCACCTTCACAATTTAGAGAAATATTGACAATGCAAGTATAATCCACCATGAAAATAAAAAAACAAAAATTTCAAATTCTTGAGGCCCTGAGAAAAATACAACCAACACTAAATAAGGTTAGTTATGAGTTTTTAAAACATCTATAATGGCAATGTTTGTGAACTACTTAAATTGTAATTAAAAAAATTACAATTATATAAATTAAAGTTACCTCCCTTAGATAAAATATTTAAAAAAACATAATAGCTTTAAAAATTCATTTTTAAATTAATTATAACAGCGCGTTCATACGTGTTTATAATTATAGCAGATTGCATTTCATGCATATTTACAAAAAAAAATTCACAACTATCAATTACATTAATTTTTTGTCTTAGCAATCCACCTCTGAAGATGCTCTTGGATGAGATTGTGAAAGTACTTGGGAAAATAAAAGAAATGATAAAAAACTATGGTGTCTTCCTTAATGAATTTCATAGCAATATTAAGAAGTTGAAGTGAGAATTTGAGAGGATTAATATAAAAATAGACATGTGTCCAGATTATTCAGCCAAACTTGTGTGAATGAATATATGCTGCCTATATATATTTATATATAATGTTGGCTCTTGACCTGTTAATATTGTGTGCATGACTATTTCTCTCACATTAAATTTGTGTATGTTAGGAACGCTTATGCAAAATTTAAGTCTTATTCAGCTTGCACGACATTTTAAAGACTTAACAGAACCAAGTAATTCAGAGAGAACATGACTCAAGAGACATATGTAAAACATAGACATAAGTTCTAAATTTATTCACTTTAGGTAGAATTATTTTTCATTTTTTATTTTTATCATTTTTTTTCAGATAATGAGCAGTTGGCTCGTTCTGGTACAAACTGCTTAGAAAATCTTGTCATCTCAAATGGCATGAAATTCTCTCCTGAGGTGTGGAGCAAAACCTGCACATGTATGCTGGATATATTCCGCTGCACTATTCCTCACAGGTGAGTTGTCACACCCTTCTTTTTTCTGCTCTCCTTTCTACTGTTTTTTTGAATCTGTTTCTTATATTCCCTTTTTGGGTGCCCCACTTCTCCCCCATAGTCTCCCATCCAGTATGGTCTTACTATCAGCTTTTGGTGTGGTATCCTCATCCATCTCATTAAATACACATTCTTCTCCCTCCTTTTGGGGTTTTTTTTTTCTATTTCTTTTTGTTTTAACCATTGCTATGTCTTTTTACTCCTTCCTTAAAGCCTTTCAATCTTGTTACCATCTTTTATATACCCCCCATTATTTCCTTCTTGTTTTACAGCATGACATTTTAACCATCCCTTCTGATTTTACACCACACCATATTATAGACCCTTTCTGGTCTTGTATTTTTTTTTTTCTGATTGGGATCTATCTCCAACTTCTGTTCCCACTGAGTCTTTTAACCCCCTACTTTTTATATACTCCTGATCCCTATTTCTCCTTTCCTCTC